TGGGTTCTAATTTAGTTAAATGCACTTATCTTTCGACACTAAAACTTGAGCTCTTGTAAAAAATTTAATTGTTTAATCAGCAATATTTGTTTTTTTTTTTTAATTTATAAAGCAATCAATTATAGTTCATTAATTTTCATTTATAAAACATACAAAAATAATAATATAATTATTTTTTTGTATCTAAATTGATCACTCTTAATAGTTTATAATATTCCTTCTCATTATTTTTTATTTATTTTTTCAACTTAAACTTTTATTTTAACTAGCTAACAGCATTTCCTTCATCTTTTTGATTTTTTCCAAAGTTTTTGCTAATAATTAATTATTTTTATCTAAATAAATAAATAAAGCCATTATAAATTACGTGATTATGGAACAAAATAATTAAAAACTAAAATTTTTAAAATGAAGAGATTAGTGGAAAAAACTATATATTGTAGATGATATATAATTAATATATTAAGTTTAATAGTTTATTGTATATGTTTTGTAAAAATATCTTTTAAGAATTTAAAAATATAATGTGAAAATAAAATTTAATTTAAATCTAAATTTATATATTATATATAATTTTTTATTGCATAGCTTATATATTTCTGTGTTAAGTAATATTAATAATAATTTATGAATATTGATTGATTTAACAATTTTCGATTTCATAATCTTTTTTGATGACATTTTAAAGATAAATAATAATATTTTTTTCTTTTATAAAAAACATACAATTTTGATAAAAAATAATTGTAAATAAAATTATTTCAGTCAAATAACTTTTGAAACAAATTAAAAAGACTGTTTTAAAAATTTTTATTAAAAATGTAATTTTTTGTTTAGTTATGTTGAGTGATTATGATAGATTTATTAGCGTGATTATAAAAAAATTAATAATCAAATTATCTTAAAAAATAAATCCTTAATATTTATATAATTATAATGGATGTAAGAAGCTATTAAAGATAAATTATGATTGAAATACATCTGCATTCACCACCACGTGCTTTAAGTTACAAAAAATAACAGCTTGATCTTATATAAAGCAAAAAAAATTAAGAAATATCAATTTGTTAGGCTTCTAACAGTAACAGTTAATGAAATTGATTTCTCAATACCAATTATAAAAATAGCATTAAAAAGAGAGATCTTAATAAATAATAATAAAATTTAGAACTGATTAAAAAGCACTTAAAAAAGCAAATATAATTATAACATGATTTTCCGAAGGAATATGATTTCTTTGTAAAGAAAAATGCATATTAAAAAAATGATCATTTAGCTGGTAAAAATTGAAAAAATGAATAGAAGAATTCTATTCAAAATAAAATATATTGGAGATAGAGATTTAAGAAGAAATTGTTTAGCTTCCAAATCAAATAATTGAGGATTCTGAATTTATCGAAATAGACACACTAACTAATAGATGATGAGAATAGTAATGACAATATTGAGAATTTGAGAAATTTTTAATTAGATTTGGATTATAGTACTGATTTTGATTAAAGAGAAACATCATCAGACAGACTAATCTTCTTCAGATATCTAACTAGAAAAGGACAATTCATATCTAAATCTAAATAATAAATATGAAAATTTACATTCATTATTAAAAAATATTATGTTCATATTTTCTTATTTGTTTGTATTTATATAAATTAATATTAATTTTAACTTTAATTAGATTGAAAAGTTTGCTCTAAAATAAGAAATTCAAATGATCTAATAAAAATTTTATGGTAGTAAATTATTCAAGAAAAGCAAAACTACAAATTTAATTTTTTCTATAAAATAAAGAGAAACTCCTTAAATTTAAAAGTTATTAATTAGAGTAAAATAAATTTAATTTTAATAAAAGCATGTTAGATAGATAATAGAATATGAAAAATTTTTTTTGATAAAAAATTAAAAATAAAAAGAATATGATTATGATTATGAGAAAATAAAAGAAATTTTTGTTTAATTAACTGAATGCACAATAATACTTTTCAATCAAATCAGCATACATATATAATATAAAGGTTAAGAATAATACTATATTGAGCTAACAATCAAATCAATATTATAAAGAATCTGTTTTTTTGAAAGAGTTTTATTCAAACATAAAAAATCAGAAAAGGAATGAAATTAAAAATAAAACTGAGCTCAAAATTATCATTGAGTTTGTAGAAGAAGAAGAAGGAGTTGTTGCTTAGCAACCAGATTTATCAGATTTAGCGTATGAGGCGGTAGATCCATAACAGGCAATACAATCAGCATCAGTCCATGTATTATTACCTCTACCAGTACCACAAGTTGCAGTTGAAGCTACACAACCAGTTAATGCATTATTAGCAAAGACAGCTTGAACTTTGCCGATAGGAATTCCAGGGCAAGATTGACAGAAGAGATCAGAAGCACCAGTAAGTCCTGATGAAGTACTTGCAGGACAACCATTAATAGCACATTTTCCAGATACTGAACCAGTCTACCAGGTCAAGGTACCAGGAGCACTTGGAGCAGCTGTGCAACTTGAGCATGTTGCAGTAGAGCAACTAACATCAGCACCAGGTGGAGCAGTTGATTAGCAACCAGATTTATCAACCCTAGCATATATGTTACCAGTTCCATTACATATAAGGCAATCTGCATTAGTCCATTAAACAGATCTATCACAATTTAGACTTGAAGCTACACAAGCAGTTTTTGCAGTATTAGCAAAGACAGCTTGAACTTAGCCGTTAGGAGTTCCAGGACAAGATCTACAGAAGTTATCAGAAGCACCAACGAGTCCTGATGAAGTATTTGCAGGACAGCTATTAATAGCACAAGAAAAACCTACACTACCTTACTACCAGGACAAGCCAGTAGGAGTAGTAGGAGCAGCTGTGCAATCACTTGAGCATTATGGACCTTAACAACTAACATCAGCACCAGCAGCAAATATTTAGCTTACTAAAAGTAAGGCTAATAATAACTTTAAAATAGTCATTTTATTTAAATTTTTGTTTTTATTGAATTCTTTTTTAATTAATTAATTATTATGAAAAGAGGTTGTTTGATTTAGGTATTTATATTGATATTGAGAATAAAAATTTTGAATTTAACTTTTTTCTTCTAAAATATAATAAAATATAAGAAAGAAGGTATGTATGCATGTATGTACTTTAATTAATTTATTAGATGAAGAAAAGTTAATAATAAGCATTCTAACTAAATAAAATAAAATGAGTGAATGGATATAAATAAGGGGCTAATTTATATTATCAAATATTAAGAAAAAATTATAAGTAGTAATATACACTTTTAGTTAGTATAAGCAAGCTAATACTTTAATAAATATAAAAATTTAGTTTATAAATAACATTTTTTAAAAGAAAATAAAGAAGATTTTTGAAAGTCCAATTTACTATTTATTAAATAAAAAAATCTCTTAAGCTTCTTTAATCAGGCGAGCTAGTTGGTTGAGTATATTAGTTATTAGCTATAAAAAACTAAATAAATAAGTTAACAATTTTGGTTTTGATACCTCACCCTATCAAATTAAAAAAAAATATCTTTCAGTAATATTTTAATGAATGCTACATAAAAAATAAAAAAATTTATATAAAATATTCTCTTAAATGATAAATCAATATACTGTTAAAACCAATTTTGCTATCCGCCACATCTCTAATGAAATAAATTGACTGAAAAAAGTTTTAACAAAAAAATGAAAAGAAAAAATCTTTTGTAACCCTTTAATTGTTAAAATAGAGTAATCACGCTTGATTTAGAAGTGTTTGTTTTAAATTTTGATTAAAAAATAGTTTATTAGTGAGTTTGAAAGTCCAATATTTTACAAAAAAGTCTTTTAATGAGATAAATAGATAACAATTATAAATGATTGAATAGTAAATAAAATGACATGTTTTAAGTAATAATATTTGAATCTCATTTACAAATAGCTGAGAATTATTTTTTACTTGCTTAGTAAGATTGCGCCTAAAAAATTGTCAAAAATTAATTTTCAAAATCTTGTTTTAATGTGAATAAAAGATAGACTTACATCTAAATATATTTCAAAGAGCCTGAAATTTTTAATTAATTAGTAGATAAATTTCTAGTGATAAGTCTTTTTCAATAAATAGAATTTATTAGATTGAAACAAATTCAATTTTATTTCCAAACTTTTGATTCGTATTTCTGAGTATTTTGGAATTGTACATATTTGAATATTTGCATATTTATTTCAGCAAAATGTTATTTAAGCGCTGATGACATTATGCAAATGTCTTAGTTTCTATGAAGCTAAATATTCATTTTCGAATTTTGTAATATTAGATTTAAAAATTAAAAGATCTATTAAAATTTTGTGAATTTGTCTTCAAATGATTTGCTCTAAAGTTAGTTATTTTGATTGTAATTTTAATTAAATATTTTTGAAAACTTACTTAACTTAATTATATCTAATAATTGATAAATTACTTATGGGATGAGGATGAGGATTTCAAAATTGCTATCAAAAGAAAATTAATAAATGTAGGAATAATAACGCATGTTAAAATGTAAAACCCTTAACAAATTTTCATAATAATTTATTAAATATTTTTGGATAATAAATAGATGGACAAATTCAATCAATTATTTTCCCTAAAATCTTAAAATAAACAAATAAATTATTAATATCATGCTTTTTTGTTAAAAAGTTTACTTAGTTATCAACAAGCGAAAATGCTTTCTTTTTTTAGATTTAAATAATTTTATAATCTAAAATATAAATTTTTTTAAACTTTAGTTGAATTTAAAATGTTTGACTACATATCCAAATATTAAAAGATCTTTGTTTATTTGTTTATTTGATTGTTTTTAGTGAATAAGTTTTTTTATTTAAAATAGAAGAATTTCAAAAAATGAGCTATCAATAAATTTTTTTATAGATTAATGGATCTATTTATAATTTTATTTAAAAAATTTGTTACTAATAATGCTCTATAAGCATTTAAAATTTAAAAAGAAAATGATTCATATAAATTGCATTTAAATCAAGAATAATAATATGATTTTATTCAATTCAAACATTCAAAATCAATACTTACTTTAGAAAAGCAAACAATTTAAAATTAATGGGTTAGTGTCTAAAAAATAAAAGCTATTTTTTCATATTTTGATTTACAAGTAAGTAAGCAAACAAGCAAGTAACAACACATAGTTTATTCTTCAATAATTTTAGTAATATTAAGATAATGCTGCTTATTTTAATATTAAACGCATATTTATTTTTAAAACCATTATTTATATTTAAGGTTATTTTTTTAAAATCATTTTTTGTTATGAATTAAGTTTTTGTTTGAAAAGTCATTAAAACTTTCTTCAAATTTGAAATAATTTAAATAGAAAGCAAAGGAATATTAATTGTACAAACCAATAAAAATAGAAAAATCACAATTAAGTCAATATTAGTAGAGTTACAAATAAATAAGGAGAAAAGTTGAAAAGATATCCTTATAAATTTTGAAATGTAAACTAATTTGTTTTAATTAAAAAGACAAATAAATAAATAATTACTTAATTTGTTTGTTAAATAACCAATTATTAAAATCAAATTCATGCATTCAATCAAAGATTGTCAATTATTTTCAAATCACACGGCTTACCTTAAATTAATTATTTAAGACAATAAACTAATAACAAAATTTATCAAATTAGAACCTCCAACCAATTTATATGTTTTTTTATTGATTTTAATTAAATCAATTCGCTTACATAAAATAATAATCCAATCTACATCTTACCATATTTATATAAGAATTAATATTGACAAAGAGTGGAGTTAAGAATTTTTACTATAAAATTAATCATATAAATACATACTTACATTTTATATAGTTAAATATCCAAGTTTTTTTTGTTAAATTATTTAATCTACAATATATTTATGTATGTATATTCTTACATTTATACATAGATACGCAGGTAACTTGTGTATAAAAATAAATTATTTACTTAATGAATTAAAAGATTTATCAATTATTTAAGACAATAAATTAGTAACAAAATTTATCAAATTAGAGCCTACAACCAACTTATATGTTTTTTTATTGATTTTAATTAAATCTATTCGCTTACATAAAATAATAATCCAATCTACACCTCTTACCATATTAATATAAGAATTAATATTGACAAAGAGTGGATTTAAGAATTTTTACTATAAAATTAATCACATTTCTACATACTTACATTTGATTCACTTCTATATCCAAGTTTTTTTGTTAAATTCTTTAAGCTGCAATGTATCTATCTATTTATGTATATTCTTACATTTATACCAACTTATATGTTTTTTTATTGATTTTTATTAAACCTATTTGTTTACATAAAATAATACTTCAATCTACTTCTTACAATATTCATGTAAGAATTAATATTGACAAAGAGTAGAGTTAAGAATTTTTACTATAAAAATAATCACATTATTACATACTTACATTTGATTAACTTATATATCCAAGTTTTTTTTGTTAAATTATTTAAGCTACAATATATCTATGTATGTATGTATATTCTTAGATTTATACATAGATACACAAGTAACTTGTATAAAAATAAATTATTTACTTACTTAATAAATTAATACATTTACATTGATAAGTATATTTATTAATCCCAACCAATTTTTTTTGGTATTACTATCAAATAAAATTTAGATAGACACACAAAAGGAAAGAATTTATAACATCTGGCTTTCTATCTATAACCTTTAATGGATGACATAAATAATTTTAAATAAAAATGGTATAAAACAAAAATTATAAACAATAAAAAAGTGTGCTAACTAACTAATTAAATAAATAAATAAGCAATGTACTTACTAAAAATTAATCAATATTTTGTCTTCATTTTTAAGTTAATATTTTATTTTAATTAAAATGTAAATCCCAAGGACGGAAAAAGAAAGCACTTTCTCAAATTTGTAAATATTTATATAAAGTAATACTATCTATTAACCAATATATACCATATGTAATAAGGATTTGACATTTTTTTTATTCAATTAAAGGTATTTGGATAATTAATTGTAGGGATATTAAATCCTAGCATATTTGTTTGTTTGTGTTTTTATTCACGTACGCATTTATGGTATATAAATAAGAATGGTTGTTTGAATAATTTTAACTAGAGAATTTATACTGATTACATCATTAATGAATTTTGAAATATTATGTTTATTATATTTTAAATTCTGATTTGACTGTAATCAATAAATATATCCATTACACATATAAAAAGATCTGGATTTGAAGATTTTTTGAATAATTTAATTAAATAGTACTGATATAAATATTTTAGATTCACCACCTACCCACTAAGTTTATTTGTATTGTATTAAAGATATTGCCTAAAAATATTTATTTCTTTACACTCTTCAACCAATAAAATCTATTTCTATTTACTACATAGATAAATATTTTTATTTATTAATATATTTGTCTTAAAATGGATTACAATTAATTTTGTATAAAAAAGTTGTTAAGAAAGGAAAAAAACAATATTTTATTAAACGAATTTTTTACAAAAGACTACAACAGAGTAATCAATAAATTCATTCAAATTTTACTTTATATTGCTAGTTCAATAAAATGTTAAGATTGAATTATTTTACTTTTACTCTAAATGAATTTGATTGTTTGTTTTAAAAAATACATAAACTTCTTTTAAAAATAATTTTATATTTTACCTAAGCGAATAAATCAATATCATAAATAAAGAATATATATTTTATAAATGGCATCCATCCACTATTTTTTTTCTAAATTGTTTCTTTAATTCTAAAATCAATTAAATGATTTTTTACAAAAGACTACAACAGAGTAATCAATCAATTTGTTCAAAATTTATTTTATTATGCTTGTTCAATAAAATGTTATAATTGAATTATTTTTTCTTTTAGTCTAAATGAATTTGTTTGTTTTAAAAAATAAATCAACAACTTTTAAGATAATTTTATATTTTAATAAATATCATAAATTTAAATCTTTATTTTATAAATGACATCCATCCACTATTTTTTTTCTAAATTATTTCTTTAATTCTAAAATCAAAAAGCAAGCTCCTCCATTTTTTAATTTAAGAAAAATTAATTTCCCTACTTAATACAATTCATTCATGAAAAACTAGATTTGAATTAGTATTTAAAATAATTATTTTACTAAGATGTATCTTAATTAAATTAATTCATCTTTAATTATTATCAATCCTTTAAATTTATTAAAATTATTTTGTTTGCTAACTAACAATAAGAAGGACACATATTTAGAATTGTATCTAATCAATAGTAAAATAAGATTGAATTAATTTGGTTAAGATCTAGATGAAAGAAAATAACTAATCAATTAATTTAATAAAAGAAGTCTGTCTGTCTAAAAAATGTTATAAAAACAGAGGAGTTTTAAGAAATTTGAATTGTAAGTATTTATTTAATTAAACTAATTGGCTATTTATTTATTTGTATACTTTTTATTGTTCTAAGATTTTAGGGTTTGTTAATTTATTATTATGATGAATTACTATTCAAATTCAAAATCAATTAAATTAAATTTCTAAGTTTCTTAATCAGAAAAAAAGAGGCTTAATCAGAGAGTTTGTAAATCATAAAGTTTTTCTTTATATCCATGTGTGTATATATGTAAATATTCATTTGCTTTTTAGAAATACTAAAAGGAATTTAAGCTATTAAAAATGTTTATATTATTTTAATTGATATTGATACAGAGATAAAAAAAAATATAGCTAAATGCCATTCAAAAATTTAGTGAATTGAGATAACTATTTTTTTGAATGGCTGACGCATTTGAAGATTCTTTATATAAAAATAAATAATTTTATAATAGAATTTCATTAATAATATTGATAGCCCCAAACAAAATCCTCCACTTACTTCAGAAAATTTAGCTAAATTTAAAATTTATGATGCAAAAAAATTATTTATTTTTGAAATTATAATAAATTAAATTATTAATTAATTATAATTCTATTATAAAATATCAAAATCAAATTTTTTAATAAGTAACTTAAAAAATATATTTCATAATAAGTCACATCCAAAAGACTGAATTTTTGAATGGCATCTTGCTATATATTCTAATTTATTTTTTCCAAAAAATATATAAAGATAAAAGATATCTTTATTATATTATATTCTTTTCTTAATATTTGTTATTTACTAAAGTAATTAAGTAATTTATCTCCTTTAGTTACTATTTTCATTCATATTTTTTAGAGGAGAATTAAAATTGTTAAATATTATTTTTATTTTTACGCATAAACAATATGAAAAATTGAATTTAATACGCATCAAATATATTAACTACTTGTCTTTTTATACTCTCTTTTTCTTTATTTAAGACAATTTTAGATTGGTATTTTTCAAAAAACTTATCAATAAAATGAAGCCATAATATCTATTTATTGATACATACATACTTATGAATTTATTTAAATTTTTACTAAGTCATTTAGTAAGCTGATTCATAAATTAGTTTATTAATAAATTTTTTTGATTTTTCTTTAACATTATAACTAAAAATAAAATGATTATTTTCTATTTAAAAATTGTTTAAAGCAGTTTTAGAAATCAAACAATACAACTCTTTTTTTAAAATAAATGAATGAATTTCTGATATAAAAATGTGAAATTGTTTAAAAATAGAATAGCATTTTTCTTTTTCAAATTATTTAGTATTAAAGTAAAAGTAAAAAATTAATCTAAATCAGCTTTAATTTCTTATAAAATTATTTAAGTATGAAAATTTAAAATATATTAAGTCTTTCTTATTTGTTTAAAGTATTCAAAGGCATAAAATATAAGACCACTTTAAAAATACCTATTATAATAAATCAATTTCTTTAAAAATACTATTTAGATTAAATTTAATATTTTTTAATTAAATTTTCAAAATGAATAATATTTTATTACTTCAAAAAATTATATTTATTTTTTATAATATTTATTTTCAAATAGAATTCCTTGATAACAAAGAGCGAAAAAGAAAAATATATCTACTAAAATGACTCAAAATTATACTTTGCATTTTTATATGAATTATTTTACAAATTATGAAATATTTTTACTTTCTTTTGATCATGTAAAACAAAATAATAAATAATACTAAACAAAATCATTTTAAAAATGTTTAAAATCAAGATTAGAATTAAATATAAATATTAGAAAAACCAGCAATCACTTTATCATTCATATACTTAACAATATATAAATGGTGTTATCATTTCACAAAAACATTTATTATTTTTTAATCAAATCAAAATTGCTTGTAATGATTGTCTATTTATTTTTTTTGGATAAAATACTCAAAAAAAATATTTATTTTTAATAAATAGAATAAAAAGAAAAATAATAATTTTTTTAATTCTAGTATTAAAATATTTGTAATTTAAAGTTACATTCTTAAAAACTTTGTTATATTAGGGTATACTTTTAATAAAAGATTATATTTTTATAAAAATAAATAGATACTGTTTTAATTGCACACGTGTGCGCACTAAGTGGGTTTTGATTATTTTGCGCAGATGTGCGCATTCTGTACGGATAATTACCTTAAATTTAAAAGTTATTAATAAGAGTAAAATAAATTTAATTTTAATAAAAAATATGATTATGAGAAAAGAAAAGAAATTTTTGTTTAATTAACTGAATGCACAATAATACTTTTCAATCAAATCAGCATACATATATAATATAAAGGTTAAGAATATTACTATATTGAGCAAACAATCAAATCAGTATTATAAAGAATATATTTTTTTTTGAATGAATATAATTCAAACATAAAAAATCAGAAAAGGAATGAAATTAAAAATAAAACTGAGCTCAAAATTATTATTGAGTTTGTTGAAGCAGAAGAAGAAGGAGCTGCTGCTGCTAAGGAGTAGTAGGAGCAGCTATGCAAGTTCCAGCAGTTTTGCATGTTGCAGCAGAGCAATTAACATCGGCACCAGGTGGTGGAGCTGTTGCTTAGCAACCAGATTAATTAGCCTTAGCATATTAGGCAGTATTTCCATTACATGCAAGGCAATCTGCGTTAGTCCATAAAGTAGATCTACTACAATTTCCAGTTGAAGCAACACAACCAGTTAATGCAGTATTAGCAAAGATAGCTGGTACTCCATTGACAGTAGCACCAGGACAAGATTGACAGAAGAGATCAGAAGCAGCAACAAGTCCTAATGAAGTACTTGCAGGACAATTATTAATAGCACATTTTCCAGAAGTTGAACCATTCTACCAGGACAAGCCAGAAGGAGTAGTAGGAGCAGCTTAACAAGTTCCAGCAGTTGTGCATGTTGCAGCAGAGCAATTAACATCAGCACTAGGTGGAGCTGTTGCTTAGCAACTAGTTTAATTAGCCTTAGCATATTAGGCAGTATTTCCATTACATGCAAGGCAATCTGCATTAGTCCATAAAGTAGATCTACTACAATTTCCAATTGAAGCAACACAACCAGTTAATGCAGTATTAGCAAAGATAGCTGGTACTCCATTGACAGTAGCACCAGGACAAGATTGACAGAAGAGATTAGAAGCAGCAACAAGTATAATATCTATTTATTGATACATACATACATAAATGCTTATGAATTTATTTAAATTTTTACTAAATTATTTAGTAAGTTGGTTCATAAATTAGTTTATAATAAGTTTTTTTTGATTTTCTTTAGCATTATGACTAAAAATAAAATGATTATTTTCTATTTAAAAAGTGTTTAAAGCAGTTTTAGAAATCAAAAAATACAGCTCTTTTTTTTGAAAATAAATGAATGAATTTCTGATATAAAAATGTGAAATTATTTAAAAATAGAATAGAATTTTTCTTTTTTAAATTATTTAGTTTTAAAATAAAAGTAAAAAATTAATCTAAATCAGCTTTAATTTCTAAAAAAATTATTTAAGTATGAAAATTATAAATATATTAAGTATTTCTTATTTGTTTAAAGTATTCAAAGGCATAAAACATAAAACCACTTCCAAAATACTTATTATAATAAATTAACTTCTTTAAAAATACTATTTAGATTAAATTTAATAAAATTAATTTTTTAAATTGTAATTTTTTTTCATTAAATTTTCCATCAAAAAAATATTTTATTTTATTTCAAATATTTATTTTCAAATAGAATTCCTTGATAAAAAAGAGCAAAAAAGAAAAATATATCTACTAAAATGACTCAAAATTATATTTCGCATTTTAATATGAATTATTTTACAAATTATGAAATATTTTTACTTTCTTTTGATCATGTAAAACAAAATAATAAATAATACTAAACAAAATCATTTTAAAAATGTTTAAAATCAAGATTAGAAGTAAATATAAATATTATAAAAACAAGCAATAACTTATTATTCATAGACTTAACAATATAAATGGTGTTATCATTTCACAAAAGCATTTATTATTTTTTAATCAAATCAAAATTGCTTATAATCATTGTCTATTTATTTTATTTGGCTAAAATACTCAAACGAAATATTTATTTTTAATAATAGAATAAAAAGCAAAATAATAATTTTTTTAAATGCCTTATATTCGACTTCAAATGAATATTTTATTTGAATAATATTGATAGATAGATATATAGATATATAAAGAGATAAGTAGAATAAATAGATAGATAGATAGATAGATAGTAGATGCATGTCCAAAAATTTTTAAAAAAATTATTAAAAAATAAAAGAATGAATTCAGCCAGCTTTTATTAATTTATACTTTTTTTTAAAAATAATTTAAAATAAAATAAAATAAAATCTATTTTTTAAAAATTTAAAATTTGAAATTACATAATTAAATTAAAAAGTCAAAAACAAATATTTTAATATTAAATTATTTATTGAGTAATTCTACTTTATTTAAAGTAAATCCAGGAATTTAATTCTTATGCTTCCGTATCAACAAGAATTTAATCAATACCTGAAATTACTATATTTAAATAGATTTATTGATAATTTATAAAATAGAAATATATTTTAATAAATAAATAAATAAATAATTATGCAAATAACAGATAAATTCTTATAGATGGAAAAGTATATTGATGTATTATTAGATATATTTTTTGATAGATATATAAGTAGATAAATAGATATTTATATAGATATATAGATAGATAGATAATACAGTAATTTCATAATTGTAGTAAAATATTAGAATAATTAATTTATATTTTTGAAGGATAAGATAATTGCTAAAAGATATTTTTATTTATTTATTTATATTTAATCAAAATTGCATCATCACATTATTGTTATTATTATTATTAATTTTATTATAATAGATGGGCAGGTAGGTAGGTGGTATTGGTTGCTAAATTTTTGTTGAGAAGAAAATTAAAAACATATTTTAAGAATTAAATTAATATATTTTGAATTCCGCTTTCAGAAGTCAATTTTTCTAAAAAGTTTATTTATTTATTCATTCATTCATTCATTTATTCTTACTATTTTTGTTGTTTTTGTTGTTGTTGTTATTAAAATAAAAAAAATGTTTTTGATTAGTTTTTATTTACATAATTTGTTTTAAATTTTCATTAATTGTTTTTAAGAGTAACATCTGGTTCGTTTGTTAGGTAGGGTTTTTGAATTATTCCAGAAGTGCTGTGATATTTGAGGTTTTCTTCTAAGATGCTGTGAAGATAATTGTGGTTACTATTTGCTTCTTAATCTACTTATGAAATGAAGTCATGACTGAAGTCATTTTCAATTTGGCTTGGAAAAGCTAGTTGCGCTGTCGTGTTTTGAGGAGTACTTATACTCTATCTTTTGCTCTATACAACCTCAATTTACCTGGTAAGCATGTTTTCTGGTAGACAAAGAGACTGTTGCTATTGCTAGAATATAACAATTTGAGGTTGTTCTTATTGAGAAGAGAATTGAGGTGAATTAAGCATTTTTTTGTTTGGCTTTTTTTGAGGATTTAAGAGCAAATGCTGGCTACTTACTTTGTGAATTAGTATCGAAGGACCATTTCTTAATTGCTCAGGAGGAGTGGGAGCAGCAGTAATTGTAACTGATTTTTTTCGGTCGCATAGATCTTTGAAGAGACTCATGTAGCTAGGGTCAATTATTTTTAATAAGTTGTTATCAACCATTTAAAGTTGATCTTGGTTCATTAGATTTTTGTAAGAATCGATACCTCTTTTGAGTTTTTCGTATTCTTCTTGATAATATTCTGGCATAGATTTTTCTCCAGAAGAAGAATTGTGGAAAATAACTTCATTTTGGACGATAGAGTAATTTAAGTTGGCTTTTGGTAGGAATTAGAACAAAGCCTGTTGATCTTCGTTGAGAAGGATTTTTTTGAGGTAGTCAATTTCAGTGAGTTTGCTCATGATCATCTAAACGTCTAAGTTTTAATTCAATTATTTGACTGTTTTGTCAATGATTTTTGTCTTAGGGTTGGTAAAAAAATATGACTTAACATATTCTGTAAAGTTGCATTTAAAGCTATTATTTTGTTTTTTTAAAACTTCAGAAATTTTTATTTGAGTTTTTTTGATGTTGTCTCTCAATTGTTTAGCTTTAATGCTTTCCATTAATTTCTGTTTTTGCTCCTTTGACCCTTTGATGAGAGGTTTCTTCTTTTCTAATTGTTCTTTAGCTTAGTTATACTCTCTAATTTACTCAAGGAGTTGCTTCAATTCTTCATCTAGCATTAATAATAAACAAATAATTTAATTAAATGGTTAAATGAAAAATAAATATGTGGGTTATTTTTTTATTCAGTAGATATAATAATTATTGATAGCAAGTAATAAATAAATAAATCAATATAATCGTTATAAGTTTTTATAAGTAAATTTAGGAATTACTAAATCAAAATATGATTAATATAATAATTCCAATTATATAAAAAGTAACCAACTAATTTCCATTTAAATTTAAACACTGGTCTAATTATTTCTATCACAGAAATTATTATTAAATACTGAGTTCTTTTTTGCCGCTGTATTATTTACTTTATTAATTTTTTACAGCTAAAAACAAGCAATAAGCAAATAGTAGTTAGTTAGTGTTTATTGCTTAATAAATGCAATTTTAAATTACTGAATTAATTTTCATTTAAAAGAACGTCAAAAAAATAAAATAAATCAAACATATTAAAAATATTATGTTTGAATTTCTATTTATTTAATGGCTTAAAATTTAAGAAAATAATAAATAAATACACTAAAAAGATATTTATTACAAAAATCTTTTAAGAGCCAACCATTTCAGAAAAAAGCTTCAAGCAAAAATACTCGCGTTATTTTATTTTTCAAAAAAAATGCTTACAAAAAATTAATAAAATTGCTTTCATCTTTTTCTTGAATATTTAATTTGGAATATTTGAAATGCTTTCTCTTAATTTTTTAGCAAAAATAACTAAACAAATTTGCTATTTTAAAAACAACTATACAAATTTGTTATTTTTAAAATAAATAAGCAAATTTGCTATTTTAAAAACAACTAAGCAAATTTGTTATTTTTAAAATAAATAAGCAAATAAATATGCTAATTTCTTGTTTGTTTGTTTATTTATTTATTTTTTGTTTAAACAGGTAGTTTCTTTATATTAAACTGTAAGGAAACTATTTAACATCAAAAAAAGAAAAAGAAAAAATATTTCGCTTTAATATTTTTGTATTTTTATTAAAAGAGGATTAGTGAAAATTAGCCTGAAATTCTTTTAAAAAATTCTAAAAATGGACTTTTTTAGTTTGAGAGTAAGAAAATTATTTTGGCATGAAAAATGAAGGAATATTTAATTATTTTAGATGTGGTTAATTATTATTTTGATTTATATGAATATTTTAAAGCTTACTTTTATCAGAAGAAGAATGCATTGATTCTGCAGAAGGTTATGATGACTGGACTTGAGTTTCTTTTTACTTCAAAATAGATTTTACTTTGTTTTCGTTAAGACTGTTGATCCTCAAGCTTTCCTTTTTAGGTATATTGGCAAAAACAGACATAACTGGAATTTTATTGTTAGATTCTTTATCTTCAGAGACCAGTTCAGCCAAATTTTAATTATTGTTATTGTTGTTAGCAGCGTTTGTGGTTTTGTATTTGTCGTTCGAAGTCTTTATCGAAGGTTTAATTTCCTAGAAACTGAAGCATTAATTGATTAGATCCACACAAAGATCTGCTTTTGCGCAGAAGGAGCAAATAGGTGAACAAACAAGGCTCAAAACATAAATAAGAGCACCGAGCTCGCAGATAACACCTATGAATTTTTAATAGGATAAAGAGTAGTAATTTTCTTTTTTCTATTCATATTTTAAGACAATGCTGGTTATATAATCAGACGTAAAATCAAAAACCTTTTATATTATTCAAAAAGAAAGGTCAAAATAAAAACTTTATTTTTGAATGCAAAACTAATTAAAGATACTTCATTCAATACAACTCTAAAAAATAAATAAATAAATTGAGAGGATATAATTCATAGTATTTTAAGAAAATCTAATCAATGAAAATATCGATCAGTAAATTCTATCAATTAAACTTCGATAAAAAGGATATTTATTTGTTTCATGTAAAATCTTAGTAATGCATCAATAAATCAATCAACTAATCAATCTATTAATCAATTTAGTTACATTTCAATTTTGGATAGTGTAAAATTGTGTAAAAATTCTAGTTTTTTGATTGTAATTTATTTTACATAAAATACTTGAGAGGTTTACATTATCTTTTATAAATTTTAGAATAGAAAGCTGCTGTGATTAGAATAATTTCTTTTTGCTATTTTACTATGTTAATTTATTTTGATTAAAAATGTTTATTGTTTAAAATTCAATCTTAGATAAATGGAGTGATTCTAATCATTCTAAAATTTTATCTGTCTTTATAAAATGGAAGACAAAATCTCTCAATTTATGTTGAATAATTAAAAAAGGGTTTTATTATAGAAGCTTTCTTTTAGATTTTTTTAGTTTCAGCAGAAGCTTTACTGAAAAAATTTATAGATTATTAAATGAATTCATGCTTTGCAAAGGAAAAATACTTGAATGATATTTTTTTGTTATTGTAAAATAATACTTAAATCAAATTTGTTTCCGCTATAAATTATATTGAATCTAATTAATTCCAGTTTAAATTTGTTTGTTTAGATTTTATTATAATTTGTATTATATCAAGTTAAAATATTTCTAGTTCTTATCGAAGTTTTTTGGATGTTTAATCTGAATACTTTTAGAAGTAAATTTGCAATTGAAAAAATCAATTCTGAAGTAACAAATGATAAATTTATCTAGATAGTTTTCAAAATATTTAGGTCAATAATGATAGTAAATTTTTATTTATTTATTTTGGATTAATCTACAAATCTCTTGAATAGAAATTAATCAAAAATATGCAAAATTAGATTGCTTTTATTTCTAGTACATTTTTAGTAGTGTTTGTTTTTACAAGTTTACATTCCAAATGGGGCTTTTTTGTTTGTTTTTTTGTTTGTTGTTTGTTTGCTTGTGATTTCACTTCTAATCTTTATATATTTATTTGGTGAATATTAAATACCTGTTCATCGTAGTAAGAAAACGAAGGATTGCTCTTGGAAGAAATACTACTAAATAAGAATCCCTTATCTGTATCGACTTAATTGTTTCTGAAATAAATGTTAGCTACTTTCGTTTGCGAATAGAGATTTGCTACTCTGAACAGTCTTCCATAATAACTAAAGGGATTGGAACCTACTGAAGGCTATACTAAAATATCAGATATAAAAACTTCTACAAAATTGGTTTTTATGAAATTTTGTATTGTTTATTCATCAGCACAGCCACTTCCAGTGCATTTTTAAAGTTGGATTGTCAATGTTGCAAAATTCTAAGCTGTATAATCTCCCGATATTTAAATTGGCTAATTAGACGAAATGCAATACTGATTAGAGTATTTGCTGCTATCTAATTAAACTCCATCTATCTGAAAATCGCTATATGTGCATTTCTATAGATTAACTTAATACTATTGGGTATTAACTTATGGTGTTTGAGAGCCGCTATTCTATTTAGTGCTCTAAATTGTGATAAAAGATTTTATATTGAATATCTAGCTATTGATTTGCTAATAATTCTAGCCATCGCTTGTGATGCCAATCACAAAAGTAAAATTTTAAGGTGTTATTAAAAATGACTAAGATTATGATGATTATCTTTCATACTAATAAACTTAAGGATTTTACTAAGTATTGATTTAGTCTATTAAATAGTTTAATCTCAATATAACCACAACTAATATGCCAATTGTCAATAATCCTCCTAACGCTGTCTAATTGTACGTCTGTCCTTTATATTTCAAAAGCACTTCTTTTCCAAAAACATCAAAATTTCTCATTGATTTTTGTATTGATTTCAATATCACTCACTATATATCTCTCTCTATATATTTTTTTATTAATTATTGATTACTTCGTAAGTAAGTAAGTCTCTTGGCTATTTTTTTATTGTTTGCTCGCTTACTTTTAATTAATTAATTAATTCACTAACTAATTTCTTTTTTCTTTATTTTCTTTTTCTTTCCTTTATTTTTTAACTTTTAACAATTATTTGATATCAAAAAAAATTTTTAGTATTCCTTTTCTCATGCAAACAAACAAGAATACAAATAATCTAATTCATTAATTCTTGATCTCAATATTTCAAAAGCCAGCCAAGCCTCTATCTATCTATCAATCAAATCCTTAATCTGTAGATCTAATTATCTCAATATCTCTATATCTATCTATTTATTTATTTATGCGTATTTTTAAAAGCAAATCTAAATTAATTTCACATTAATTATTTCTTCCCTTTATTACTTTTTCATTCATTCAATCATAAAAAGCTAATATTATCTATGCCTTCTACCTTGGTTAGGTAAATTGATAATTTAATTTTCTTAAAACTTATTTGGCTATTTATATGATTAATTCTACTCAAGATTATCTAAAAAAATAAAGCGTAAGATAGTATCAGATAAATTGTTAATATTTTGATTGTGCTGGCTTTGTTTTTCTACTTTTATGTTTGAATTTTTCTCTTTTAACTCATTTATTATTTTTTATCTATCTATCTAACAATCAATCAATCAATTAATCAATCTATCTATATGTAGATCTATTTATCTATCTATCTATCAATTTATCTATCTATCTATTTATAGGTTTAAATACATTTACTAATTACATGGAATATAAATTTTAGTAAGAAATTTAGAATGAGAAAATTAACTTAGTAATTGAGTAGTATAAGACGATATTAAAATTTTATTTTGGCCTATCATTAATAAATATTTTTATATTACTATTTAAATATTAAATAAATAAAAAGATTCATCTAGTAACTATTTTCTTATCAAATATATTGAATAGACTATAATCAAATTCATTAGTCAATTAATAAAAAAAGATTACACATAAATACTTTGAAAAAATTTTCTTAAAATGCAAATACTTTGTTTAAATAAAAGCTTTTCTCTTTTAAAAATGAATTTTTAGTAATTTTTAATATTTTTACAATTGATTTCGATCAGTTATTTCAAACAATACCAAAAATTCATGTTTTTATTACAAAAAATTTAAATACAAATACATACAAATCATATTAACTTTATACAAGAAAATCTAATTTTTTAAATTAATTAAATCTTGAATATTGCAATATATAGTGTAAAGAAAATCAATATTCTTTATTTAATTAATTAATTAATCGTTTATTATTATCTATATATAATCAGTTTGATTAATGTAATCCAAATTTTAATAATTTTCCTTATTTTTTTAATAGAAAATCATTCATTTACTGTTATTTCAACAACTTTTAATTCTTTTAAGCACTTAGTCCTAATAGAAATGTATTAATAATTGATTTTATGCATATATATTAAGTAAATTTAAATGATTAATTTAATAGAAGATATTTTTATGATTACAGATACAAATTAAGAACCTCTTTTTTAAATAATTGAGTCGAGAGATCTCTTTTCTTGAATTAATTCAAACAAATTATCCTGACTAAAGTCATTCACACTATTAGTAACTTTTAAATTAAAAATTGTAATCAGTTTTTTTGTTACAGAGAGATCTATCGCTCTCTATTTTCGAAAATAAAGATTTGAAGAAATCCTCAATTCAAAACGAAATTAATTTCTTATAGATAAACTAATATATTTAATATATGTATCTTTCTATCTGTTTGATTGTCTCTTGATTTTACCAGATAATTTAAAATAATAATTTGGGCAAATAACAAACAGATAACAAACAGAATTGCATTTAAAAATTTTTAAGCAGTTAAATCAATCTAAAGTGTGATTGAAAATCTAAATCAAATTTAAATTTCAAATTTCATGAATAGAAACAACTTTTTTTAAATTAAAGGTTCGAACTGCTTAGTATTTTTAGGCAAAAATTAAGCAAAAAATAAAAAATCTGAATATCACTTTTTTCTTTAGAAAATTACATCTAACAAATAACTACTGATGAAAATTCGTTTGTAAGTTAATACATGAAGTTTTCGACTCACTTTTATTTGTTTCTTTCTCTATGGATAAAAATCGATTGATAATTACAAACAAAAAATAGCCATAAAATAAATTAAAGAAAAACATAAGCAAGAAAAAAAACAAATAAATAAATAAACAAATAATCTTTATTTTTAATTAAGGAAAATAAATAGTTAAGATTTACTATATAATTTTTATTTTTACATTACCAATTTAATTTTCAGCTTTTCTTCCATTATAATTTAATTTACATCAGCTATAATTAATTTGAACAAAGGACTTTATTAAAACAAATCGTAACAATCATATTTTAGACTATTCGCAGATAATTCTAAAGAATATTTATAAAGGCAAATAAATAAATAAGTTATCTTTTTTAACATATTCTATTACATTATTAGTAAACACTAAAACTAATTTCATTTTTAATAAAAATAATTACAGCAAAATAATATTTTAACATAATTTTAGAACATTCAATACATATCCTCAATTATCTTCGGAATAATATTCTCTTAGTAATATAATAGATAGTCATTTAATAAAAAAGCATTCATATATATGTATATGCTTAGATTGCATAGATGCGAATTTGATAAAATAAGGTTAATAAATGAAAAGTTATATTTTCTAATAATAAAGATTTATTTTATAATCTTCTGCGTTATAATTATATATAAGATTTTATAAAAATTAATTACTAATAACGCATATCTTCATACTTTCTTTAAAGATTCAATCAATTCTTATCAAAAATAAATATAATAAAAATACTCAAAAGGTATTCCAAACAAGTTATTTTAAAGTTAAATAATATATTATAGATATATATAATATTATTTTATTTTATTTTGATTTTATTAATGATAAATAGATTTCGCAAATCCTTAATTGATTTATTCTAATCAATTAATCAACGAAATCTAAAGAGTTAGTTAAATTGTCTACTTAATTTCATATATTTATTTATAAATTAATTAGGGTTTCTATTTTTTTATTTTAATTAAGCATTTTCCCTTTGATTTCATTCTAATCAACTGAACAATTAAACCAAAAAGTAAATTTGTTTAGACTTTAAAAAACGAATTGAGTTGTGTGTATATGTAGCATGGTGATTAATTTAAGCGTAAATTCAAGCGAATAAATTCTTTTGAGAATAGATTAATTCTTTACTCTTGAAGCTTTACTAGAATGTTAATATTTATATTCAAGTATTAATTGAAAAAGTAATTATCGGAATTAATATATTATTATTAATCAATGTATCTATCTATTCTAATTTACATGACGATTAATTAATATATTCTATTCTAATCTCTTACTTCTTAACGTATTTACAAAATTACAACGGTACGGTATGGCTATAACAATTATTATTGTAATAGAAACTTTTTATAAATTTTATCAGTTTTTTTTTTGAGCATTTTTTCTATATATCTAAAGCTTAAAAAGCCATTTTTTTATATCTAAAAATTTCTTAATAATTATGTAGATGCTATTATTTTTATATTTATTTATTACTTTGTAATTTTGCCATGATATAAATTTTAAATATTATCATTTATATTTTTTATAAAAAAATCTAGCTTTTTTGTCCAAACATAGATTGGTAAAGGTGAATTATATCTTAAGCCTACTCACCATTAATTTGATAAAGTTTAAATTGAATATATTAGACATCAAGATATTTATTTATTAATGTAATAAAAAATATTTGTAATATTGATTTGTTTATATTACTATTTATATACAATAATTTATCACTGGAGATAAACAAAGAATCTTACTATAGCTAAATAAGTTCATATAATGTTATTTATTAAATGTTTATCTTAATTTTTCTTGATTTTTATTTATATCAATTTTTCATTCTTAAGATAAATTAAATATATTCTCTAATCTATGTTAGTTAATATACAATATTTATTTTTTTTATTACTTCGGTTTGATTTATTGTCTTTCATTTATTGCTTACTTACTAATAAGAAGGTTAAGAGTGTAAATAATTTTTAAAAAGTTTAAATTGATCTTCTAAATATAAAAAATAATTTCTTAATTTAATAGATAAGGTATTAATTATAATTTTTAATACATCTTTGAGAACTATAAAATATTTTTATTTATTTATTTATTTAGTTAGTTTGTTAGTTATTATTTAAAGGATGGATCAGTATTTAAGAATAATATCTTTCTTTTTTTAAATTTTAATTTTTAACTGAGTTGTCTCAAAGTTTATTTCTTTTTATCATTTCGGTTTGATTTATTACCATTCATTCATTAATTCATTGATTACTGACTTACTAATAAGAAGGCTAAGAGTGTAAATAATTTTAAAAAAATTTAAATTGATTTAAAAAATAAATTACTTATTTAATTTAATAGATAAGGTATTATTTAAATTTTTTAATACATCTTTTAGGATTAGAAAATATTTTTATTTATTTATTTATTTGGTTAGTTATTATTTATAAAATTATTTAAAGGATGAATCAGTATTTTAAGAGGCATATCTTTCTTTTTTTTAATTTATATTTTTAACTGTATTTTACACAAATTTTATTCTACAATTAATTGTATTTTAATTAAAATATCTTAATTATTTTTTACTTTTATCTTAGTCCTAGCAAAATAAATAAATAATTAAAAATCTACAGAACATTCATTACTTCTTTATTATATTTGAAACAGAGTTAGTTATTGAAAATAATATTTAGTTATATAGCATAATCAAGAAACCAAATTTATTTATTTTTTTGCAAATTATGTTACAATCAATTAAATAAATTTATTCTGATATTTATAATTAATTAGAATTTCAAATAAATACTTTTTATTTTTTATCCAACATATACTTACTTGCTTTTTTTTTGAGAAATATAGAAACAAAATTAATTTACACTTTTTTCCAGAAAAAAACATATTTTAATAAATTTATTTTAATTTTTTTATTCTTTTTTCCTTTCATCTAAATACTTATTTGATGGTATTACTGATGTCAGTCAATATACATTTCATATTTAAATAATTCCTACTGATGCTAAAATGTTGCAATTCTTATTAATTAATTAATTTACTTTATAGCTATTTTATAATGGTTTTATTTTGCTCAAGTAAAGTCTCCTCTATCTTTTGTTTAGATTCATCTGTTAGTATTTGGAGTTGGCATAATTAAATTCATTGAATTTTCTGATTATTTTAGAATATGTACACTTAGAATCTCCTACTATTTATTTCATATGAAGATCATAAATTTATATCAAAAGTTATTTTTTAGATAAAAAAATTATGTACTTGATCAATCACTCATTTATTAATTGTGATTAAGAATTTTTTAAATAGTATTGCTATATTTTTTTATCAGTTTTAACCTTAACATAACCCTGATTTATTTATTTATGGTTTCAGCATGAATACATAAATCATTCATTTTTATAAACTAAATAGGTTGATTGAGTTACTGAATATTTATATATATAATTTTGATAATATAGCAAATATCTATTGAAGTTCAATAATTGCTGAATTATATTTCAATCACTTTGAATTCAAATTTATTATTTATTTTAATCAATAAAACAAAGTAGAATCTTTTTTTATATAATTTCGGATAATAAATATTGGTTGGTTAATTTAATTGAATTGGATAATCCAATAAAATAAGAAATAATGTTAATTTATTTTTAATCTATTAAAATATGATTTTCAATGATGTTTTAAACAATTGAACTTAAAACATTTAGTCTTATAAATAATAAACTGGTATTTTTTTTAAGATATAATTTTAATATAAAGAAATATTTTAACTTTAGTTTGTTTTTTTTTGCTCTATTTAAAATACTAAATTTGAAGCATTTTTATTATTTTATTCGAGCTTTTTGTCATTTAGTAGAAATGGTGACTGTACTTAAAGCTATTACTTTTAATTATTATTTTTTATTACTTTGGTGGTTATCGTAAATGGCTACTAATTTTTATCCTATTAAAAATGAAATAAACCAGCTAATTGTAATGTGAAGACTAAATATGCTTAGTAAACCCAAGGCACTTCCAGGACAAAGTCCTCCAAAACCCCACGACAAGCCAAATATTATTGAACCAATTATTAAGCGCAAATCAATTTTAGCATTTTGTGGTAGACTTAAAGATTTGCTCAAAATAGGCTGCTTTTTCTTGAGAATAACAAAATTAAATGATAGCAGATTTAAAAAGATAGCTGTTCCAAGTAGGACCATAAGAGAAGGATCCCAATTTTCAACTAGAGATAAAAATCCGTAGATTTTAGACCTTCTAAACATCCCACCAAAGCCAAGTCCTAGACAGAAGATAATAGAAGTGAAGAGTCCTACAAAAACTTCACTCTTTTTCTTAGCAAAATTTGAGAAAATCAAAAGAACTATGATCATTATAAAGCTAAGAGCTAAGACGAAATAAGCGATTATTTAATAATCTAAATACTAAGTTATATCTACTTAACTATCTTCTAAGAAGGGGACATAATATCTAAATGTGAATATTAAAAAGCCAGAAACCATAAAAAGTAAAATTGAGCACCAACTTCTTTTTGAAAAGCGTGGAAGACCACATACTCCATGTCCGCTTGTACAACCGTTAGCCATTTTAGTACCAATCCCTGCAAAAAATCCAGCTATAATAAATCCTGCATAATTAAGATTAGCTACCATTAAATCTAGAGAATCAAACATAGCAAACGAAGAGTTAAAAATGGGTTAAAACCTAAATATTAAAAACAAAACAGAGGCTGTAGCTAAAAAGCCAAAAAGAAATGTAGCTTTCCAATAGAATTGCTCAATTTATAGGTTAAATACTGAAAATAAAATGCCTGAAATACCAGTGACTCTGCCCTTCATAATCAGATTAAAGGTAGTTGCGAGACTTATTAAAATTCCTCCAATAAGAGCAAATAATAAATCTACTCCTTAAACCATTGATTGAAGAATGAATGAATGCTAAATTATTTAGATTTTATTTTGATAAACAAAATATTTTAATAATTAATTAATAAATTAATTGATGATTAATATTTATATAAATTATCAAATACCATTTTTATATTACGATTACTCAAAATTAATTGATTAAGAGCTAACTAACTTAACAAATTTCGAATTATTAATTTGTTTACATCTAACAATAATTTTTTTACATTCTTGAAATGTATCAAAATATAGATGACAATATATATTAACTTACTTGCCTGCCAATTAATTTTACTATTTTAATTAATAAAATCAAATCTTATCTATTCTGCTGATTTTTTTACTTAATAATTTGATACATCATATTTTATTGATTTAAAAACATCAACATATATTAAAAGGTAGATTCTACCACTTTTTATAAAATTTAACTCCTAACTCCAAACGCATCACATTAACATCACTTTAAAAATATCCCATTAACCCAAATAATCAAGTCAACTCTCTCATATATAAAATACCCAGAATTAAAACTTGGTCCTAACTTATTTTTCTGACAAAAATACTATCAAGTTGCTCAATTTTTATTTATCTACTAAAAATAAAACACCATTAAACTTTTACAATAAAACAGTTTTCAAAGCAAAAATGAAGCTAAAGTGCAGTATGACTACAGTAAGCTATTAAGTCAAGACCTTTGTATATTAAAATGATATTCTAATATAAAAAAAGTATTATTAAAATAATAAAAAATGAATAAAAATTTTTTTAATTTTGGACAAAAAAACTTTGTTATTAAATATAATAATTATCACAACATTATTAATTCTTTGACTGCTTTACTTTTTTCAAAGCTATAATCTAAAAAATCTTTATTGTAGATCTTATTTATCATCACATTTGATCTTTAAAGATACTATTTCTTACCTTAACCTTGCGATATCATCAAATTTAAAATGATTTTTATATTAAATATCAAAAATAACTAATTTGATTAGTTTAAAGTCCATAACATAAATATTTCTTTAGTTTTCTAAAGAGGAGTCATAAGTATTTTTAGGTTTTAAAAAGACCATCTCTTCATTCAAAAAGTGAACTCATTCATGCTCTACATACTATAGAGCAATCAGATAAAAACATGATTCATCAAAAAGAAAAAAAATTCTACTTTTTTAATCACAATGCAAAAAGAAACAATACAAAAATAGATAAAATATTTTTTAAAAATAATTTTTTAAAGTTTTTAATAGTTAGTTATATAGGATTTCAACATTTTTTTTCATAAAGATAAGTTAGCAATCAAATCCTATTTTAGTTTTCCTTAAAGAGTGATTGGGGTTTAATAGATATAGTTTACAGCAAGTAATATGTTGGATATGGTGCGTTGTGGAGTTGTGATTTTTTAAAAACGGCAGATTTTACCTTAAATTTATATTAGCAAGATTCATAATAAAAACCTAAGTTCTGTTAATAAACTCATTTTTTCATCTAACTAATTCTTTCTATTCTAATAATTTTTCATAGATTAATAGAGAGAAAAATTTTCATTAAAAGCTGTTAAAAAAATGATTATGTCTAATTTTTATTATCAATTCAGATTACTCAAATTATGCACTTTTATTTTTAAATATATATCATCTTTAATTGATTATTTTCCAGCTATATTGGAAAGGATTTTAAATAAATCCTTTCAGTGACTAAATATTTGCTTATTCGAATTACATAATTTCATAAAGATAAATTAACAATTAATTTTCTATCAAAATATAGATCAAATCTAAATAACTAAGATAATTAAATCTTTTAAAATAAGTAATATATTAATAAATAAAAATTTGATTTAAATTCAGCTAAACAATTGTTAGAAATTTATTTAAATATTTAACGTATGTCTTTTCTTTAATTCAATCAAAGCTTTTAATTTTAATCATTTAATAACGCTTTTTTTTGTTTCACTAACGCCTAATTAATTAATTAACTTAATATAAGAAATATCTTTAATTAATAACTATCTATTTATAGAGAATATTCTAAGCATCAATTTCGAAACTATATATAAATCACTTGACTTAATTCACTGCACATCTAAACCCTCAATTATTTGTCTAATACACTTAGTATTTATTTATTATAATATATTATAATACAATAATCGAAATTAAATTTTTTACATTTTTTTGTTTTTTTTAATTATATTTACACAATAATATATACTGCATTAAATTGTATTAGAGATAATAGAGAGTTTTTGTCGTATAAAATGATAATAAAAAGATAACAAAAAAATATGTTCAAAATTTTGGATAAACTTCAATAATTTATAATGAAAGAATTTATAATAGATCTTTTACAAATCATAAACAATGAATAAATAATATTTATTATTCATACAGACAGACGGTCAAATGTATAAATCTGTTTGTTTAGAGAGTAAAAAATACAAAGCTTTTAATGATTTTAATTAATTAATAATTGTCCTTGTTACTTAAGTAGAATAAACATTCTTATATATCTATCTACAAGATATTTAATTTAATCATTTTAATTTAAAAATAAAATATTTCTATTTCTTACTCCTTTTTTTTCCTTCTTCTTTGCATTATTTACTTTTATAGCTTTAATCCTATTTTAAATCACTCTCATTACTTTATAACTTGTAAATTTTTTTTTAATCATTAGATGTTGTTGCTTTTAAATTTTAAATAAAAAAATAAACTATTGAGATTTTATAAAAATATTTTTTGATTTAGTTTATAATTTTATTGATAATAAATAAGTAAATAAGTCATTTTTTTTTATTTTGTTTTCATATTTATTTTTCATTTAAAAAAAAAAAAAATTGTTAATAAAATTAAGTTTACAATATAAAAATAAAAACATAAACGAATTACATACATATTTATTATATTATAACTTATTTATTTATTTATTTATTCATCCTTTCATTCTAAATTTTTTGTTCATCAATATTTATCATAAGGTTTGTGTGTCATAAACAAATTGATTGAGTCTTCTAAATATTTAAGTCTCTTGAAAGTCAACACACTTGTTATACCTGTCTATCTTCCTATATTAACTATATATTATTTATTTAATTCTTAGTTAAAACTTCTTAACAAATTAAATTTTACTTTTATTTTTTATTGTGCTATTTATTTATTTTAGAAGTGTAAATAATATTTTTACACTAATTACAGAATCAATAAAAATAATTTGTCTTTAACCTCAAAATAGATCCAATTTTTTGAAAATTTTACATTCTACAATTGTTTTATTATTAAAAAATTAATTAATTAATCAATCAATCAATTAATAAATTATTATTTTAATTTTTTAATTTTACCACTTGCTATTTTCCAAATTTAAAATGAATCAGCTTAATTTAATTTATAGGTACTGAAATAAATTAATTACTAACTGTTTATATTTAATTAATTATTTTAATCAATAATAAGTTAAGTCTATCTATCATGAAAATAAATTAGTAAATAATAAAATAAATATTACAGCCTATTTTATTATGTTTTAAAATAAAATTAATATTTTAATAAAAATTAAATTGAATTTTTACTAGCTATTAAAATTAGAGAATGATATTTTTCAACAAAGTGTAAAAGAATTGAAGTTTCTTCAAAAGAGAGGTATTTTAGTTAAATTAATTAGTCATTTATTACATCCTTTTTATTATATTTAATTTGTTCATTATGTCTTATTAAATTTCATATTGCAATAATTAAATAAATATTTAATAAATAATAAATTAAATAATAAATTAATAAATAAATTAATTAATTAATAAATTAGTTACTCGCTTTTTGGAAATTTTAAGAATTTCATTTAAAATATTTTCAAAGATTTGAAAATGAATTAATGAATGATTATTTACCAACTATATATTTTAAATTATTAACAAGTTTAAAATCTCTAAGTCTGTCTCAGTAATAAATAAATAAATAATTATGAAAATGTCTGTTACTTCCTTTTTTAAAATAATATTTAAATTAGTTATTTAATTAATGTATTAAATTACTAAATATTTTATTATCAAAATTAATTAATTTTAAATTATTACAATCTATTTTTAACATGAGAATACAATACAATTACCATCTTTCAATTAAAAGTCACTAAAAATATTAATTACCTATTAGAATATTCAATTTAATTCTCCGTTATTAAATGCAAAAAGTATTTAAAATGTTATTTACGTCCATCTATTAATTAAGAAAAATAAATTCAAACTATTTGTTTTAATTTATAAGAATTCAA